TATTTGTATTCTTGTAGGTATGTGCGTATTTTTGAAAGTATAAAAACATGTTTGCACTTTTGTGCGTGTGTAGGTATACCACCGTTTGTGTGTGTGTGTGTGTTTGTGTGTGTGTGTGTGTTTGTGTGTGTGTGTTTGTGTTTGTGTGTGTGTGTGTGTGTGTGTGTGTGTGTGTGTGTGTGTGTGTAACTACGTAGCAACATGTTTGCTTAGTCACATGTTGTGATAATGCAATAAACGATGAAAGTTATGAATAAAAAGAGAGAAAATGATTGTGATTAGGATTAGGATATGATGAAAGGTGGTGAAGTTTTGGTGAACGTGACAATGAAAATGATGGCTAAAGTAATTCGACCAATGATGACGCAAAAGATGGCGTGCATATGGCGATTAAATCAAGAAATTATGTAGATTGTAATATTGTTGGTGATGACAATGATGTGATGATAATTTTGTTGTGATTAAGATGATGATGATGATGGTAACGAAGACGACGACGAGGACAAGGATGATGATGTGATAATGATGATGATGACGACGACGATGATGATGATGATGACGATGAGAATAATGATGTTGTTGAAGATTATGGCGATGATGATGATGATGACGATATTTTAAAATACAGGATAATACAGATGGCGATGCCCAATTAGAAGTTTAATCTCCAACACGTCATTGTTGTCAGCTTGTTTCTTTATAATCGTCAAGTTTATAAAAACACAATGGCGTCCAACCTCATCAAATCATCATTATCTTCGTCGTCGTCGTCGTCATCATCATCGTCATCATTCCATCATCATTATCGTTATAATCATCATCATCATCATCATGAGATATAATGGTAATTTTTTTTAATTTTCATCATCTTTGCTGTGCCATGGAGGCATTTTTCTTAAAGATTATTTTCGACGACTATCATCATCATCACCATCATCATCGTCATCATCATCATCACCGTCATCATTATTATCAAGATTAATCATTATCGTTATCACCTTTATCATCATTAATGAAACTTACTTATCATCACTGTTTCTATAAATAACATTTATTCATCACCACTTATATCTTCGTTAATGTTTTGACTTAGGTTTGTCGTTGCTACTCATTACTTAACGGAATTATAACCTTCAAAATATAATCATTTGGTTCCTTTGTTATCATTATTCTTTTTCTCTGTACTAACTAATTCAAAATTATTATTATTATTATCATTATTATTATTATTATTATTATTATTATTATTATTAAAGTTTATTCTGCCATTACAGTTGACAATATTATCGTCATGGTCTTCATCGTCAAGTTGATCGCCGCCATTTTAAAGATTAATTTCATCATTTAGAACATATTATTTTCATGGGTGTGCTGGTTGTCATCATCGTCATCATCATCACCGTCATCATCGTCATCATCATCACAATCAGTATCATAATCATCAATATTACCGTCGGAACGTCGAAAAATTATTCCAATTAATTCGATCACCTAATTTAATTTTGACAACAGATGGCCCCATTAAAGCCAATTAATCTATCTCAATTCACTTTTAAATACATCGATCATCGCCATTCTGACGTCACCCGCACACAAAAGCGATCGTGTACATGTACAGACGCACAACCTTACATGCAAGCACACACATACACGTACATACGTACGTAAACAATTGCCCCCCCCCCCTCTCTCTCTCTCTCTCAGGCTTCTGCCTGCCTTCAGTAAACAAATTCGCACATATGCACATACACGCACACATACACATACGCACGTACACGCACACACAAAGTACGTGCAAACTAATTACAAGATGATTGCAACGTTGGCCTCTCTTTCTCCGGCTCCAGCCTGTCTTCCGCTCAACATCCGCATATTAAAACTGAAATCGCCATACGTAACTTGCTTGGTAAGATCGGTGAAGATGATGACGACGATGATGGTACTCCTTGCAACCCGCGATGAAGATTAAATGATGGAGCCAAAAATGGAGAGTAACGATACAAACAAACAAAATCAGTTACAATAAAAAACATTTTAAACCAACAAAACCAAAAAAAAATTAAAAATTAAAACTAAACAATCGAAAAATCAAAAATCCAACAAAATACGATAGATTATCAATGATCATGCACTTCTATTAAGACCTGAAGCTACAATTTCAATCTGCCTGTATTTGCTTGCCAAGAAGTTTTCGAAAAAATAGATGCAGATAAATTTATCAAATTTTGTATACACACACAAACACACACGCACACACATATGCAGATACACACACACAAAAACACACACTCACATACACGCGCACATACAAATTCAAGAACTTTCCGCCCGTAGACAATCATTAATTATTCATCAAAACAATTGAACGTGATGGAGTTTGATGGGAGAACTTTGAATAATAATTTTAAAAAATAAATTGCATTAATTGATATATTATTATTATTATTATTTATATTATTATTATTATTTTTATTATTATTACTATTATTATTAATACTATTATAAAACACTATCGATTTGATTTGTGTCCGGAAAAATGGTCAACTTGCTTTTACTTTTGTTTTAATTTTGTTAAAAAACAAAAAACCAAAGACTCTAAAAATATTTGCAATTGCTGTGTGGCTGATTTAAACGTCTACCTGTTATTATTCAAAATTGTATTAGTATTATTACCTGGCTTTTACTGATTCAGAAATATTGTTGCAGTAGTGGTTGAGGTAGTAGTTGTTACTGATCCAGAAATATTGTTGTGGTTGTGGCTGAAGTAGTAGTGCTGGTGATGGAGGTAGGGCGCCATTAAAATTAATGCAATATCCCTTCTGAGATGCATAAAAGCGTCTAGCAATAAAGTTGAACAACGACAACTACCACGACAATTAAGTTGCTTTCTGACCACAACTACACGTTCCAGCGACTACAATTGCCGCTGCTTCTGCTATTTATTCACATTTTAACGCGTTTCACTTACTGGAACATTAAGTTACTACTGCTACAATTAATACTACCGCCTTGCTTAGCACTTAACGCTTGGACAGAAACAACATTTGCTGTTAATTTATACTAGAATAAATTACTCTTACTTTTATTCAAACTATCTTTTGTATTGTGTATCCGATTTCAATAACTCAGTTTTGCTCAATTACGAAAAATAAAATAGTTTTGAAAAATGAAGATAAGAGTTTTTTGCGAACTCAAAATGTATTTGAAAAAGCTTTCAATTTTGAAATGTTGAGAATTCCCAATGTCACAGCACCAATTAAAAAATTAAAAAACGCAAGAGTTTGGTATGAGCGCAATAATATAATAAGATAAATTTTGAGGGAATTAAGCATAAAATAGTTAAATAGAATACTGAATGTTATTGGAAAATGGAATTGTTGGAAAAAATGTTCTGATTCATTGACATGCAATTTCGAAACCTGAAAGTTAAGTAAGGCCATTATGTAAATAACTGTACGTATATAAACATACAGCACAAAAATAAAATCATTATTGGAATAATAGTAATGGTTGTTTATTATGTGTCCAATGAAATATGCACTAACTCAGAAGAACCAGCTGTAGAATGTTTTATTTTTAATCCAAGTCAACCTACACATTTTGTTTGTTACATACACATGCATGTTTGAATGTTTCTTTGTGTGTTTAGACAGCAATGATGACTGAAATTGATTTCATCAATTCAGCACTGCTTGTGTTGTGACGTTGGGTCAGTTGATTTGACGAAAATCGCTGAATGGCAATTTGTTTGTAAGAATTTACCCTGAAAATATTTGGGTTAAGCTGCTGATGAGGATTATCATTGATTTATTTGATTTTTTAGAAATAAATTCTGATTGGAGCTTAATTGAATTTTTGGAGTTTGGTCGTTTTAAATTACTTTCATCACAATTCCCTACCAAATACCCTTTTTCATCGAAGCATTTCATTTTACAATCTGCTTGGTAGCCTACTTAGCATGGCAGATTCTGTTTTGAAGAATATTTCTACGCATGCTTGGTCAGTTCAAACCCTTACCCAGTCAACTGACAATGTAGTAGTGGGCCACGACACACATGTGCTGAAGGGATTATATAAAAAGCTTGGAAAACATTTAGAAGTGACTTTGTGAGTGCTGCTGAGGACTGAGGTGAATGATTTATTGGTGTTCATATTTTTTGTCAGAAAAGGAGGATAATGGTAAGTAACAATTTTTTTTACATTTTCAAATCATGCATATTTCATTCGCATGGAAGTAAAAACTTCGTTATAACGTTGAAGAAGTGAGTTTGTTTATTAAATTTGAAAAAAAAATTTGGCTAGAAATGACGGGTCGCCATTTAAAAAATATTTAATAAGTTCTCTCCTCTTGATTGAATTTTTAATGGCAAAGCATGCAATGCAAAAACCAACAATGGAAAATATTGCCTTGAACATCATCGCATGGAAGCAACATGCAAAACATCTTTAAAAGAAAAATGGTATTGCTTCTCTTCTCCCGCATATATTTAGTACCATGAGGTTGCAATACATTTTGCTACGTACGTAATAATGCGCTCTTTTATAATTTTTAAAATGATCGGAAGCATATGAGGAAAAAGTTCAGAATGGATGGATGGATGTGTTTCCATTGTGCCGTTCATACCCAGTTTATTCGATTTAATTAAAATTAGCCAAATCTATTTAGACGCATGCTTTCTCTGAATATAAATGCTGACCAACGAAATTCCAAGAGATGATGACACCGAAGTGATGATGAGGATGATGATGACGACGACGATGATGAGTATGATGATAAAATAGAAGATGGTAAAGTGATGAAGATAATGTAGAACAAGATAATGATGAAGAAG